TAAAATAACAGATAAAATATAAAGTTCTATTCAAAAAACGTTTGGTGGTTATTTAGGAGGATATAGAAATTATGCAAACAAAACTTGACAACTTTCAGACAAAGAAGGGTATTTTTAATATTAAAATCAAAATTACTTTGCATGTTGGATTGTCAACATTTTGAAAGAAAAAATTTCGCGAGAAAATCTTTAATTAAAAAATCTTAATACTTAATTTAAAAACTTGATATTTTGTGTACAAAAGCCTTGTAATGTGTACCAATAACCTGCAAAAATTTGTGAAGATACACATACATTATCAAAACTTATAGTATAATGACTCTCATGGATACATTTGTGGTTATGAGCTGGGTGGATTCCACCCAGCCTGTATTTGTAGGGTTAATAGGGCAAAATAGCTCGATATTTATTTAAAGAACATTTATATAGTATCGAAATTATATAATATTTCCTTGAATTGATTTGCTTACAATTTTGTCCTTTCAATGATAAAAGAAAGTATCTTCAGCTGTGAACAAGAAGATGGAATTTGACTTCTATTTTTATTTTGATTTTGCATTTACTTTCAATGTGCATGAAAATTGTTTCAAAATCTTTGAACTTAATGTGTATCTATGATTTCTGGTATTTTAAAAGTGTGTATGGGTTGGTCAATATTTTACAGAATTACATTCAAAATTGAATTAAGTAATTTTATCATGAAGATATGTAAATAAACTTAGCTTCAAGACATATTTAAATAAATTCCCACCCTTCACTTCTTTGTAGCATGTGACACTTCTCTCCAAATTTTCCATTTTAGGTTTTATTTCTACCCCTATATGATCTTCTGAATTTGGTACAACCTAAACACCTCTAATATTGACATAGCTAAACCATAATGCAAATGTTTTGGCTCAAATCTTTGTGATTTACTGAGGTATAAACAAAAAAGTCAAATCCACCTTTTTTTTCAAAAAAATGTCACTAGTTCTCCCTGACATTTGCTATTGGATTATTTATAACCAACAGAAAGAGAAGATTTTAATTTGTCAAATATTCTCTAAAGCTAGCTCACTCTATTGAAAGTTTCTGAATTATTTTGCTTACAGATCCATTATTTGCTTTTTCAAGATCAGCTTTACCAGCTAACAGAATTTGAAAACCCATTTATGCTTAGTTACAAAGCCAGTTAAATTATAGTAGTTTTAGAACATTATGTTTGTAGTGTGTTATAACATTTTGTGTTTGAAATAAATAACAATGATTTTATATACTACCAACATTGTTACAAAACGTTATGGTTACTGTTTGTTGGGGGCCCAAAAGCAAAAGTACAACAGCCCAGGTGTAATTACTGAATTCTTAGTTTTATGATAAAAGTAACAAATGTAAAAATTATATGCTTATTATGTTAGGTAAGAAAATGTAAGTGCAAGAAAAGTTAGATAAAATAATTATACATGATAGCAGAGATACATCACAGGGTGTAGATGTGTACATATGTTGGCAACTTGATCATTTGTTTACACAAAGCTCTTCTTCTGTGATAACTGGCTTCCACATTCTTTAAGAAGGACTATAAGTACAGCTGTAAATCAATGAAACAAAATGACAACAGATTTGAAGTGTTTTAGCTTTGATAGTAAGAATACTTATTGTGTTATTGCCCATTGCAATGTAGTCTTTTTAGAAAGAGAAAAAGAACATTTGAGACTTATTCAGATTTTTATCTATTCATTTTACCTTATATTGCTGACTTCACTACAGTTAATATAAAGAAAATAATAAAGTATCTGAAAGACAGACTTATATTTCTGCACACAAATGCTATTCTTCACATGTCCGCCTTTGAAATTTTGCACATGCCACTAGTCTTCATTCATCTCCCACCAAATACACGTGTGTTATAACATGAACTGCATTAGTGCATGATGTAATCATCATGTGACAAAAAACATCCACCAACAAGAGGGGGACACATCCCCAGTGTGCAGTAGATCTTCATAAGTACTTGCACTCAAAAGTAACTTCATTCTTATATTCATCACTGTATTTAATGGAAGTGTTTCTTTAAGTTTAAATTTATTCAGTTTGAAATTTGTTTAATAAAGTGATAATTGTTTCAAACATTGTTGTAAGAAAAACTCTGTATGTGTTACACATTTGCTCCACATATTATTAATCTCTGTGTTTTACACTTTGTTCCACATATTATTAATCTCTGTTTGTTTTACACATTTGTTCCGCTTATTATTAATCTCTGTGTTTTACACACTTTGTTCTGCTCATTATTAATCTCTGTTTGTTTTACACATTTGTTCTGCTCATTATTAATCTCCGTTTGTTTTACACATTTGTTCTGCTCATTATTAATCTCTGTTTGTTTTACACTTTGTTCCGCTTATTATTAGTCTCTGTGTTTTACACATTTGTTCCGCTTATTATTAATCTCTGTGTTTTACACACTTTGTTCCACATATTTTTAATCTTTGTGATTTACACATTTGTTCCGCTTATTATTAATCTCTGTGTTTTACACATTTGTTCCGCTCATTATTAATCTCTGTGTTTTACACACTTTGTTCCGCTTATTATTATCCCCTGGTGAGACAGCAGCAAAACTTTGGATTTCCAACACTAAAATCAAGGATTCGATTCTCCTCGGTAGACACAGCAGATAACCCAATGTGTATCTGCTACAAGAAAAACACCCACATATTATTAATCTCTGTGTTTTACACACTTTGTTCCGCTTATTATTATCCCCTGGTGAGACAGCAGCAAAACTTTGGATTTCCAACACTAAAATCAAGGATTCGATTCTCCTCGGTAGACACAGCAGATAACCCAATGTGTATCTGCTACAAGAAAAACACCCACATATTATTA